CTGGACCATCACATCTTACCTTTCCCTGGTCCCCCTGCTTCTGTCCCAACCCCAGAGTCTGTGGTCTCCCTGCAGCCAGAGGGGACCCGTGCACATCTGCATCAGGCCCTGTCTCTCCCCTGCTTAGAACCTTCCTGTGGCTCCATCTCACTCAGGTAAAAGCCAGCGTCCTCCCTGTGGCCCACAAGGCCCTGTTCAGTCTGCCCTCACTGCCTGTCTGCCTCCTGTCTCATCACTTGCCCCCTCGCTCCCCAGGCCCCAGCCACTCGGCCTCCCTTCTGCTCTTTGACCGCATTGAGCATGTTCCCACCTGAGGACATTTGCCCTGGCTTTTCTTGCTGCCCTGTGCTCTTCCTCCAGGCTCCCTTTCCCCACCCCCCTCAGGTCCTTGCTCAAGTGTCACCTTCTCAGCGAGCCCCTCCCAGACCTCCTCATTGAAAATTCTGGCCTCCCCTTATCCTCCTGATCCCTGCTTCATTTTTCTTCCCATCATTTATCAGCTGACTCATTAGCTGTTTTTCTGATTTATCTCATCTATTGACAGTCTCCTTCCCCCTGGAACGTGAGCTCTGTAAAGGCAGGGGTGTTTTTGACTGTTCAGGCCACTGCCGTCAGCCTAGCCCGAGCCTGGTAGATATCAGTCCTTGGTAGACAGTGATGTTTAGATGGTGGTGCATGAGTATCATCGGGTCATTTTGGGTAGAGTAGGTGTTTGCCAAGGAGGGGGACATGTGTCAGTCCCACAGTTTGAGGCCAGGTGTGTGAGGGTTCCTTGGTTCACGGCGGGGAGGCTGAAGATTTGGATGGGGGTGGTGCAGGTGGGCAGCAAGAGCTGAGGAAGGGTGGCAGGTGGGAATGGCATGGGATGTCAGTAGGGGAGCAGCGAGGAGCCTGCTGTCGGCCAGAAGCGGGACTGGATTTCCCCATCCATTGTCAGAGCACGGTCCAGAGAGTTAGGAGGTAAACAGAGGCAGGCAGCCAGCTGGCTTCCCGGAGCTGTTAGGTAAAGATCATGGCAGAAGAGTGAGCAGGAGCCAGTGGTGGAAGCCCCGGGTGCAGGCTGGGGACGGTGAGCGTTTCTTGGTCCCCTTCTCGGTTTAGGGGTGTCAGTTTAGTGAAGATGAAAGGATGGCTGTGACCTGAGTCATATCCCCTGCTCTACCCCTGGGCCCTGGGCTGCAGCTGGGTCAGCTCCCTTCACTGCCTGGGGGAGGCAGGAGGTAAGAGTTTTACGCACATGCACACGTGTGCGCACACCCGCACCCAGACAGCTTTGTCACACAGTGGCTCTTGCTCTTCCGCCTGGGCTGACTTTCTTGGTGGGGGTGTTGGATTGGGCGGGGACCATTTTCTTCTATGAAAGGTCAGAGGGTAGGACAACCCAGTGCAAGGTGACTGGAAAATCTGAAGCTTTTGTTAGGGCAGGTTGAAATCTGCTGTTCTGCATGATAAATAATTAGAAATTTTTTTAGAATTGAAACAAACATTTTAGAGTAGGATGCAAAATGCGCCTGCATTCCTGGGATCAAACACCGGACTTCAGAGGTGTCTGTGTCCCAGCTGGTGGCTGCAGGCTTCACGCTGTCCTTCTCCATTCATGCTCCACCTCTGAGTTCCAGGGCTTTCTCTGCCAGTTTCACAAGACTGCCTGGGCAGAGACTGAGGCATAGTGTACTGGGTACAGACGGAGCAGTGCCAACTGTGAGCCCAGCCACGTTGCAGGCATTGGGGTACAGTGGGGAGCAATCTGGATGTCCCTGCTCTCGTGGAGCTGGCAGTCTAGTGGGTGAGGCAGACACCAAAGAATTACACACACATACCGTGCATGGTAAGTGCAATGAGGAAGACTGAAGCAGAGAGAGGCAGCAGTATAGAGAATGATAGGACAGGAATAGGGAAGTTTGAGCACAGGTGTGGGTGGGCAGAGAGCCATGTGCAAATCAGTGAGAAGAAAGTTCCAGGGGGTACCAGACCCCAGTGCAAAGGCCCTGAGGTTGGGCACTTCTGGGGTTTGGAGAATACTGAGGAAGCCCATGTAGCTGGGACAGAGTGAGCGAGGGGGAGTAAGGAAAGACAGGAGGGCAGAGGTGGTGAGCCCAGTGGGCCACGGGGCAGAGTCTAGGGGGTCAGCACAGGGTTTAAGGATGTTGACTCTGGAGTGGATCAGACTGTTTTCCAGGCCCAGCTCTGCTCGGTGACCTTAGTGAAGAATTTTACTTTGTGAGCCTCAGTTTCCACATCTGCAAAATGAGGATGAAAAGAACCACTTCACTGAGGTCGCAGGGAGTCAGTGAGCTCAGTATGAGCATCTGCGCATGGTTGTAGGGTCCCCTTGAGGTGATGGCAGTGTAAATACTGGGGCTGAGCCTCAGTGAGCCACATTTGGTGGCAGGGACTGGCTTTCCGACATGTTTTCTGCTGAAGACTGTCATGCCAAAGGCCTGTGGAAAAGGTGGATAAGGAACCATGGGGGAGGGGGTCAAGAACCCTACTTTGTGCTGCCTCTTGCTACACCTGGGGGCCTGGGACAGTCAGGTAGGAAGTAGGGACCCTCGCCCACAGTAGGGTTCAGGGCAGGAGAGGAAGGGCAAGGTCTGGGCATGGGCGTAGGGGGAGGCCAGGACCAGCCTTGGAGATGATAACGATGATGATGACAGTAGCGTCTCGCTGCAGCTCTCAGGGGCAGGGCAGGCAGACAAGAGCCTGGACTTCAGTGTCCAGCTCCCCAGGCTCAAATCCCAGGTGCCTTGGACAAGGGCCTCTGCTCTCTGGGCCTCGGGGGCCCCTGTCTGTGAATTGGAGATGATGAGAGTGCCTAGCTCACAGGTTATTGTGAGGATGGAATGGGATTAGGCACAGAGAGTACCAAGCAGGGCCCGGTGCATGTAATCTCCCAAGAGGCACATGCTGCTAATTCCAAGAACTTTGGGGCCCCAGGCTCTGGGCTGGACAGGCCTGGAATCTCACAGCCACACTGCTACCAAGCTGTGTGAATGGGCAAGTGGTGTGTCTTCTGTGCCTTGTGGCTTTTGTCTGACTTTTTTTTTTTTTTTTTTTTTTTTGGTCTTTAACAAGGGGCTTGTAAGTGGCCCCTTCCTACTGGGTTAGGTGCGCAGAGTAAATGAGGGACTCTGGGTTGAGTACTCAGAAGAGGGGCCAGAGCCCAGTAGGTGCTCAGTCAGTGTTGGTTCTTGCTCTAAAGGTGACGCACTTCCTCACTGTGTGCAGTTGCCTAGCAGCCCAGCCACCGGTGCCTGTGTCCTCAGTGTCTCCCTATAACTCTGGGAAGCTCATACTGTCATAGCTCTCTTTTAACAGAGAGGGAAACTAAGGCACAGAGTGGCTGAGCTGCAGGCCCAGGGCCGCACAGTGAGGTCCAAGGTAGGTTGGCTCATGCCACTTCACGGACACAGAAAATGAGGTGGCACAATGTGTAGCAGTAGAGCTCAAGTTTGGACCCTGGGCTCTCCAACTCCTAAGTTACAAGCTTGCCTTGGGAACTTCAGCACCCGCTCTTTGCCCAACACCCACCCCCATTCCTGGTGCAGGCCCCTGTAAGTAGCAGCTCCTCTCCCTTTTCTTCTGAAGCCCCCATAAATAAGGTTAGAAGCTTGGAGACTTGGTAGGAAGGTGGTGCCTGGTGTAAGAGCTGGCTGTGCTGGGAGCTGCCCCGGGGTGCGGCTCCTGCCTGATCGTTATAAACATGGTCAGTTCCTCTGTTTGTCCTGCCTTCCATGCGGTGCCCAGAGGGAAGGGGTGGCCCCCGGCAAATATCCGGAGGTGTGCCCTTTCACCCCCTTCCCCTGTGGGGTCACATTTGGCTGGGGCTGGGACTGGCTGCAGTATGCAGAGATGGCTTCTGTGTTGTCTGCCCTGCATTCCAAGCTACCTCCTGCCTACCCCACCTGAATCTTGGGCTTTTCCTTCTCCAGGGTTTAATAAGGGGTCACCCCATCCTGCAGAGGCCTCAGGCTGAGGAATGGAGGATGGGCAGGGCAAAGCATGAGAAAGTCCAAGGGGAGGAGTGAGGCTATGCCTGGGGCCAAAGGAGGTTAGTTACTTGTGGACAGGAGGTGATAGGACACAGGGTGAAGATCTGGCGTGACAGAGCAGGGAAAATGGCAGAGGGTCAGGTATAGGGACAAAGCAAGGAACTAGAACTAGAATGACAGAGCTGAGGACAGAGAAGCTGAGAGAGAGAGAGAACAAGAGAGGCCACCAATGGAAATCTGGGAGGGAGGGCTGGGCAGTGTTCAAAGGGTTGGAACAGGGTTGCGGGGGACACTGAAAGGGCTCCTGGCTTGGTGGGGATTTAGGAGTTGAGGCAGAGGCAAAGGGGCTCCTTCTTCCTGACCAGGGTTGTCCCACCCCACATGTAGGCAGCTGGGGTCCCTGGAGCATGCAAGAAACTGGGCTGGCTGGGGGAGCCTTGGCCAGACCTAGTTCTGGCCACCTGCTGGCCAACAGGCCCGGACCAGTTGAGACAGGTTGACTGGTAGGTCCCTACCCACCTCCCTCCCACTACCAAACCGGTTCTCCCGGAGGCTGCCCATTGATGGTCCTTCCTCTGAACAAGGGGTGGCAGCCTATTTGGCCTCACCTCATAGAGCTGCTCCCACAGGAAAGGAGCAGCTTTGCCATGGGAGGAGAGCTTGGGGCTGACCCTGTGCCGGGCACTCTGCCAGGTGCTGGGAAGCCAGCCATGAACCAGACAAAATCCCCACCCAGGGTGTCTTCCCTCATCCTTTGGGTCTGTGCTCACGTGGCACCTCTCCTGGGAATCCTCCCCTCATTTCCACCATGCCATCCCTCCAGGCTGGGTCTGGTGCTCCCTGACCCCAGCCTCAGCCACTCTGGGCTGTCAGAAGCGGTCTCCATTACACTATGTCCCTAACATTGACTAGCACAGGCTGGGCACAAAGGAATGAGTTATTACTGAATGAGTGACTGAATAAATTAGTGAATGTATAGGTGAGTGATGTTTTCTTCCCATTTTACAGATGAATAACCCGAAGCCCCAAGAGGAGACATCACCTGCCCAAGGGCACTTCTAGCACAGCCAGTGACAAACCAGGTCTGTGGATTCCAGGGCCTGTGTGCCTGTGTGTGGGACAGGGGATCCGGACCTGAGCCCCCTCCTCCCTTAGACACTGTGAAGAATAATCCTCGCCATCAGGATAGCAAACGAGGACAGGGCCCACTCTCTGCGCCTAGCTCTGCGCCCAGCTCTGCTTGTTTAATTCTTACAGCAGCTCTATGGAGGTTGATCCAAAGCACAGAGAAGTTAAGTCACTTGTTCAAGGTCACGCAGACTAAGTGGCAGAGACTTACTCTGTTCATCTCGCTCCCCTTCCCATTGTTTCTCTGGTCTCCCGGTGGGACGCCACCATCAGCGTGTCTTCCCTTTGGCCCCTTTGGTTTTTAAGCCAGCTTTCATTAAGCATTTACATTGTACCTGGTATTATTCTGAGGGCCTGACCGGAGACCCCAGACCCTAAAAACAGACTGTTTTGTCTGTTAGTATCTGTTATGAAGTAGGTCTCCCCACTGTGTGATCTTGGTGAGGAACTTCCCTCTTGTGAGCCTGAGGCTCCTGCGAGGCGCACATATTGCAATGAGGCTGCCTGGGCATCACACAGAGAACGGAGCCTCGGTAGCCATTTGTTGAACAAGTGACCAAAGGGGTGTGGTATTCCTGGCCCGGAATCCAGGCTGGGAAAGCAGGATGGTGATGGCCAGGCTGTTTGGAACCTGTCACTGAGCACACTGTGTGCTAGACACTGCTAGGCATGGGGTGGCACACGGGGAACTGAGCAGATGAGACCTAGACTGTGGCATTGATATTCTAGTGTTGGGGCTGTAGGAACTAAATTAGTAAACACAAGAATGAACAGCAGAATTTCTAGAAGTTAAATTTGCTATGAAGTGATATGGGGGAAGGATAGTGGGGCATGGGGACTCTTTTATTTGGAATAGTCAGGAAAGGATTCACCAAGGAGCCTGAGACCTGAAGGGACAGAGCCATGTGTGGATACGGGGGGGAGAGTATTTCATAAAGGGAACAGCCAGGGCAAAGGCCCGGAGGTTTGAAAGCCAGTGTGAGTGAGGGGGAGATGCAAGTAGAGAGGAGATGGGAACAGGTCATGTGGGGTGGGCCACAGGGAGGACTTGGCTTTTCCCCTGAGTGAGATGGAGCCACAGGATGACACTCAGCAGAGGAGAGATGTGACTTGACGCAGGTGCTCATGGAGTCCCTCAGGTTATATATGAAGGACAGACTGTGGAGGTGGAGGGAAGAGTGGGAGACCAGGAAGGGGACAAGAATGGGCAGGGCCAGGACAGGGCTAGAGGAGCAGGGAGAAATGGGTGGTTTCTAGTGAGTGGCCCCTCCTGCAGGCCTGCTGTGGAGCCCAAGTCTGCGCCACCCTGGTACTAAGAGCTTTGGTGCCATGTTTGGGAAGAAGAAGAAGCGGGTAGAGATCTCAGCGCCATCCAACTTCGAGCACCGTGTGCACACGGGCTTTGACCAGCATGAGCAGAAGTTCACGGGGCTGCCTCGCCAGTGGCAGAGCCTGATCGAGGAGTCGGCTCGCCGGCCCAAGCCCCTTATCGACCCTGCCTGCATCACCTCCATTCAGCATGAGGCCCCCAAGGTATGCCAGCACCCACCGCCGCCTCTCCTGACCCACACCAGCCCCTACAGAGGGACCCCGGCCCCTAACCCTGCACTTGACCCTATGGCCAACATCTCCTCACTAACCCCCATTTCTTGTGACCTCCAACACACACCTCAGTCCTTCACCCTCACCCCCAACAGTGGCCTTTCACCCACCTCTCCACCCCCTGACCCCTTACCTTGCCTCTCAACACTGACCCCACCCCTGGGAACTTCACACCTTGTCCCTCCAACAGTCCCTCCACCAGCTTCTAAGTTGTGCCCTCCTGGAGCCTCACACCTAGAGCTCTGTGTTCCTGACCCCAGTGCCACAAACTTGTCCTTGGGCCCTTACAGAGTGCCCATGGCAGTGGTATGGCACAGGCCTGTTCCCAGATGCTGACTACCCCAAGTGCTCAGGGCTGGGCTGGGGAAACCCAGAGGAGGCGTCTGGGGTTGAGACCCACTTCTTGGAGTAGGGGCACCTTAACTGAGCCCTGAAGCAGAAGGTGGGGCGACAGGGCTCTTAGTGGAAGAAGAGGCCCACATGGGCATTGGGGGCTTTTTGTTTTTGGGGGGATTATTTTTTTCCGTACCATCCTGAACAAAAGGACAGAGCTGGGATTTGAACCAAGGTCTGTTTAAAAGGCTCATGCTCTTAAACGCTTTTCCTGTCTTCAGGGTTCAGGGGCCCAGGCATGGCCTGCAGTTAGCCCAGCCTGTCGGGGGTAAGGCCACACCTGCCTGGGATCATGGACTTTATCTCAAAGGCAGTGGGAATGGGAATGGCCTCAGCCCAGGGAATGAAGCCAGGTTTGTTCCAGGGGTGGAGGCGGGTGTAGCAGACTCTGTGCCTGAGGCCAGGCCTGCGGCTGACTCATCCTCTCCAGCTGGGTTAGGGTTAGGGTTAGGGTTGCTCAGCCCAGCCTGGGCGGGGCGGGGTGGGGAGGGAAGCCCTGGGGTCGGGGAGGTGGGCATAGACACAAGTGGGGGCACTCTCCCACCAGGGTCTCAGTCTGGTGGCCCACTGGGATGTTCCTGTGTCCCATGCAGGGTGCTTTTGAATGTTTTGAAGTGTTTGTCATTGCTTAAAAAGGCGAGAGATTTCATGTCCAAACCTCTATTTCTGGCTTCTGATGGATCAGCTGGAGCTGAGAGGCAGCTGCCTCCACCGTCAGGGCACGGACTCCTCTGAGCCACAGGCCCCACCTGGGCCACCTCAGTTCTGTCCCCTGCCCAGCCCTGTAACTGCTTGGGTGCTGTTTATGCCCTCACTAGGACACCACCTAAATCTGGGCTCTGCTTGACCTGCCAGCCGCAGGTCTTGCTTGGGGCTGTGTCCACCAGGAGGAAGGGGCACCTTGTCTTAATTCACACAAAGGTGTCACATAGGCTAGCACTGTCCTGGGTCCCCTGTGGCACTTGTGTTTGCTGCCCAGTCCTCCTGGGCCCTCCCCCAACCCCCAGGCACTTTTAATACTAAAGCCTGACCAGCTCTCTGTTTTGATTCACAGGGTCCCTGGGCAAAGGCAGGCTTCCAGGCTGGTAGCCAAGGCCCAGGAGAGGCAGGGGCAGGCCCCATAGGGGCACTGTGGCCAGTAGGTGGGTTTTGTGGGATTAGTGTCTTCTGCACAGTAGAGGCGATCCTGACTTCAGGGTGTCTGACAGCTCTGGGCCCATGTTCCTTTGTATCAGTGATTGACAGCACAGGGCTGGGGGGCCACATTCTCTGCTTCTCACAGCCTCCACCCAGCTCCCCTCACTCACTGGTTCAGCAGATGTTTACCGAGCACCTTCTGCCTACCAGACACTGTTCTAGGTACTCAGATTTAGCAAGAGCAGAAGCAGGAGGACCCAGTCGCTGCCCTCACACACATTGCACCAGGGGAACTGTGGGTGTGCTGATGTCCACTGGTTTTAAGTGCTCTAAAGAAAAAGCAGGGAGGGGGATAAGAAGTGTTAGGGTCTAGCATTTTAGATGGCTGGTCAACAAAAACCTCGCTCTGAGAAGCTGAGTTTCCAGCAGAGACCTGAAGGAAGGGAGGGAGGGAGCCATGGCATACTAGGGGCAAGATGCTACAGTACAGGCTGAGTGAACTGGCAGCACAAAGGCCCTGAGGTAGGAGCTGCCTGTGTGTTTGAGGAGCAATGAGGTCCATGTGCCTGGAGCTAAGTGGGGGCGGGGAACCCTGGAGGCCATGACGTGGAGAGGTGGCCATGACCTGGATCAGGGTGGTGGGCGTGGAGGGCAAGCACTGGGTGGATTTGGGATACACTTTCCACTATGTCCGGCCCCCGTAGGCATTCCCATTGCCACCCCCTCTTCTGGGCACTCTTGCCCACTACACCGGGCCCAGTCCTTTCTGACTCTCCCTGTACCCCACCCTTGGCATCCAGGGTGAACAACACTGGCAGACTGTAGGGGAGGAAGTACCAGGCTGTATCCGGGCCCCAGAATCCTGTCATTTGTAGCTCTCCAGGGCTGATGATGCAGTGGCATGGCCTCTGCCCTCCTTCCCCATCACCCCCCACGGCAGGAACCTCCCCCGGGCCAGGAGAGCAGGAGAAAGACAGGAGGGTGCCTCTCAGGGCATCCGGTCTCCAGGTGGGGGGTGGGGAGGTGACAGCCTGACTGAGGGTAGGTTACTCCTTCAGCTCCCTTCCTGCTGCTGACTTCTCTGTGCTGGGGGAGGGGCTGCGGGGCCTCTGGTGCTGCACCCCCGCCCCCCGCCCAGCCCCATCATCACCCCATGGCATTTCTTCATTTGTCTCTGTCTTGTCTCTGTGTGTGTTGTGTTGTCCTGTCTTTGTGTGTTGGTTACATGTCCCTTGTCCCCCGCCTCCTTCCCCGGCCCCTACCCCACCATTGCCCTGGACCCCGGACCCCAGACCATCGTGCGGGGCAGCAAAGGTGCCAAGGATGGGGCCCTCACCCTGCTACTGGACGAGTTTGAGAACATGTCGGTGACACGCTCCAATTCCCTGAGGAGAGACAGCCCACCGCCGCCACCCACCCGTGCCCGCCAGGAAAATGGGATGCCCTCGGAGCAGGCCGCCATGGCCAGAGGGGGCCCAGAGAAGGCAGGCGGCCAAGGCCGGGTTGCTGGTCGCAGCGAGGGGAGTGGCAACAGTGGTGACCGGCGGCGGGTGGGGCCAGAGAAGAAGCCCAAGTCTTCCAGGGAGGGCTCAGGGGGCCCCCAGGAGTCCTCCCGGGACAAGCGCCCCCTCTCGGGCCCTGATGTCAGCACCCCCCAGCCTACTGGTGTGGCCAGTGGGGCGAAAGTGGCAGCTGGCCGGCCCTTTAACACGTACCCGCGGGCTGATACGGATCACCCATCCCGGGGCACCCAGGTAACTGATCCCCCTGCCCCAAGACCCCCATTGTCCCCTTGCCCAAAGCTTTCCCTGTCCGCACCCACCAACTCCAGCCTGTGCCCAGCCCACTGTCCATCTCCATCCTGACCGCCATGTGTCTGTGCCACAGCCGGGCCCCTGTCCTGTTAGGAGAGCAGAGCTGGCCCCTGGCCCCTCCACTGACAGCCTCCTCTCTTTTCTGTTTCAGGGGGAGCCTCACGGCATGGCCCCCAACGGGCCATCAGTGGGGGGCCTGGCTGTCCCCCAGTCTTCCTCTTCCCGGCCTCCCACACGAGCCCGTGTTCCCCCCAGCCCTGGAGTGCTGGGCCCCCATGCCTCTGAGCCCCAGCTGGCCCTTCCAGCCCGAACCCTTGCTGTCCCCGCCGGCGTCCCCGCCCCTGGGCCTCCTGGACCCCGTTCTCCACAGCGGGAACCCCAGCGTGTGTCTCATGAGCAGTTCCGGGCTGCTCTGCAGTTGGTGGTGGACCCTGGTGACCCCCGCTCCTACCTGGACAACTTCATCAAGATCGGTGAGGGCTCCACAGGGGTTGTGTGTATCGCCACCGTGCGCAGCTCGGGTCGTCTGGTGGCCGTCAAGAAGATGGACCTGCGCAAGCAGCAGAGGCGCGAGCTGCTCTTCAATGAGGTGGGCCGCCTGGTCTCCGTGTGCTGCCCTCTTCCTCTTCCTGGTGCCCCTCCCTCAATGGGGTGGTGGCCCTAAGGCCATGAGGATGGAAGAAGGCGCTTCAAGGCTGGGCTTCCCAGAGTTGGGCCCTCTTCCTCACTCCTCACTCCTCCTCCTCTGTCCCCACAATACCCACAACCATGCCTCTGTCCCTCTCCTGGTCCTTGCCCGAGCCCCAGCTCTGGGACCCTTAGGCCCACGGAACTCAGCCCTCTAAGTGTCTTTCAGGCCCCTCATACCCAATGAGTCCCAAGTTGACCCCAAAGTATCTCCCCAAACCTTTGTCTGTTCTCTGGTCGCCAGTCTCAGAGAAGCCCCACCAACCCTGTTCTCAGGCCAGAGCGCTGGACCTCGCTGGCTCCAGTACCCACCCCCTGCCCCAGGCCCCAGGCCCCATAGCCCCCTCTTTACTCACTGGGCCCTGCCTTGGCCTCCTTCAGTTCCCCCTTGGCATTTCCCACACAGCAGCCAAAGGGCTCTTTATGATGGCAGGCCCACCATGCCACCACCTCCCCCCCAGGCCTTACTAACCCTTGCAAGGTCCCCAGTGCTCTCAGGATAAAGGCCTAGCCCTTTGCTTAGTGTTCAAAACCCACCCCCATCTAGGTCCTTGGCTCTGTCTAGCCTTGAACTTCAGCTCTTTTTTGGTGACCTCTCTGCCAGGAAGCTAGTTACAAAGGCAGACATCGGACTTTTTCCAGAGAGGGCTCTGTGTGGGGGCAGCCCCTGGACCCCGATGCAGGATCACTCAGCATTCAACTGTGCCCATAATCCCCTCAGCTCCCTCCCCGCCCCCCCCCCAAGTATTACAGTGTTCCAGTTGCACCATGGGCTTTTGTTGAATGTGGTCCTATAAACGTCTGTTCCCCACCTCCCCCAGGTTTTGCCTGGCTAGGCCTTCTTGCCATGAAATCCTCCACCCAATGCCTTTTCTCACCTGGGCTACTACCTGCTTGTCCTGATCTCAACCCTGTGCTTAGACACTCTCTTCCCACCTTCCTCTCCCACCACCAACCTGGCCTTCAGGGCCACTCAGAGACCACCAGCTCAGGACTAGTCACAGGTAGGGATCAGAAAGGTGTGGGCATGGGTTAGGGAGGACCCTCAGAATGGAGGCTTCTGGCCTTAAGCTGCCTTTGTGGTCTGTTGACCTTGGAAGTGGCGGAGGAGGGGCAGTTCCAGGGTAATCCTGATGAGCAAGGGTGAGAGAGAGGTAGGATCAGGCCTGCAATGTGGCAGCGCCCAAGCCTTGGCCCAAGAGGGAGGCAGGAGGGCGCCTGATGGCTGGGTCCGAAGGTAGGGGGTAGCGGCCCTCCCCTGCCACGCTGACCCGGTCTCCCGCACCAGGTGGTGATCATGCGGGACTACCAGCACGAGAACGTGGTGGAGATGTACAACAGCTACCTGGTGGGGGATGAGCTCTGGGTGGTGATGGAGTTCCTGGAGGGAGGCGCCCTCACCGACATCGTCACCCACACCAGGTACTGCCAGGCAGTTGGACCCTGGCTGACACCTGGCCTGCTATCTCCTCAGGCCCCCCCAAAGTGGAGCCGGGTCCCCTCAGACCTCTCCCATGACAGGACAAAGTCCCCTTCAGACCCCTTGGGGTAGCAGAGCTAGCAGGGCTGTGTCCCCCTCAGGCTCCCAGGGCAAGGCTGGGTTCCCCTCAGGTCCCCAGAGCAGAGATCCCCCTCAGGCCCCTGGGGCGGTGCCGTTTGTCCCACTGCTTACTCCTCCCCACGCAGAATGAACGAGGAGCAGATTGCCTCAGTGTGCCTAGCTGTGCTGCAGGCCTTGTCTGTGCTCCATGCCCAGGGCGTCATCCACCGGGACATCAAGAGCGACTCCATCCTGCTGACCCACGATGGCAGGGTGAGGATTTGGGTGACTTGGGCTTCCGCCGCCCTCCCTAGCTCCCCTTCTGTCATCACAGTAGGCTGTGGCCCCAGTTCAGTCGCGTGAGGATCAGTTTGTTCCTCGTGCACCACTCCAGGGTCAGGGCAGTGAGGGCTCTGTTAATGAAGTCATTGGGAGCCCAGGCTGGCAGGGGCTCTGCCATCAGCTCAGGATGCTGGCAACTGCAGTCTTTCCCTAGGCTCAGAGAGGGGAGAACGTGTTTGGGTGGCCACCACAGTTCGGCCACATGCTTCTCCCACCACTGAGACCAAGGACCTGGGGTGGGCAGTGGACCCAGGTCCTGTCTCCTGTCTTCTAGACTGAAGTTCTGAATCTCAGATCTGTGGATAAGCCTCAAAGTACCCAGAATCTGCATTCATGCTCCATAAATGGACTTTCTGAGGGAGCGTCCCTGGACTTTCACCCAGTTCTTGGTGATTCGCCCACCCTCCTTCAGGAAAGTTAATTCAGGCAACGGAGGTGGCAGCATGGAGCTCATTTTCATGGAGAGTTTCAGTGTAGGGTCTGTGAACACCTAAAGATGTCTACAGATGTGTTTTAGGGACATTTGGGAGCCACTTGAACTTGTACATACTCTGGGCATGCTTTCTCGGGGTGAGAAGATCCATAGATACCTTCAAGTGTCTGAAAGGGGCCTATGGTTCCACAAAGGATGTAGATCCTTGTTTCTATGGACCAGATTGTTGCAGAGGAAGGCCGGGTGTCCTCATACTCCAGGGAAGCAGAGGTTCAGGGCGTGAGCTTTGGGAGCCAGCCCTGGTCTCAGCCCTTGCACCAGCCTTGGTACCTGTAGGACTCAGACTACTTCCCCCAACAGCCCCAGGGCAGACCTTGCCTAGAGGCAGATGGTGTGATCTTGGGGCAGTGACACCCGAGGGCCCCCTCCCAGAGTGTCGGAGCTACCCATGGTCTGGCTCTAACTTCTGGGCTACACAGTAGCGACCCAGCATGTCGGAGGCCAAGGAATTAAATAGGTGGATGCTTCTGCTCATCCTCCCCCTGCCAGCCCCTCTGACCCGCTGCCTGCGCCCTGTCCCAGGTAAAGCTGTCAGACTTCGGATTCTGTGCCCAGGTGAGCAAGGAGGTGCCACGGAGGAAGTCATTGGTTGGCACGCCTTATTGGATGGCCCCGGAGCTCATCTCCCGCCTTCCCTACGGGCCAGAGGTGAGCCAGAGGCAGCTGGTTGTTCCACTGTCAGCACCAGTTCATGCTGTGACAGTTCAGAGCAGCCAGAGTGTTGGGGTGAAGTGGGTCTCAGTCTGGGGAATGGGTCTCCGGGGACAACTCTGTGGGAGAAAATGTAGGCATCTGTGTTCATTCATTCATTCCTTCCCGATTGAGTAGGAGTTCTGAGCCAGGCCTAGTGCCTGGCAATGAGAACAGAATGCTGAGCAGAAGTGGTCATGGCCCTGCCTTGATTGACAGCTGGTGCAGAGGCCAAAAGATGGCCAGTTCCTTGCTGGTTGGCCAGAAGATGCTTTTGCAAGCATTTTAATAACAGAAGTCTCATAAAAATCCAAATTTCCATTCTCTGTCGGAAAACCAAGGTGTTTGGCCGCACATTGGCCAAATTCTCATACAGCAATGATGGGCAGCACAGATGGGCTGCTGTGCTGTAGAAAGCACAGCACCTTCATCTCGGCTGTAATCCCCACCCATTCCTGTTGCCTGCGCTGACCTGCTCCCCTCACTGCCATCACCTACCTGTTCCAGAGGCCTTTGAGCTGGTGCTTGTGGCCTTGAGGACCCTTCCACAGTCAGTCAGCAGGATCCAACTAACCCAGTGCCTGGCCATGAGACAAGCACCCTGGGAAGCACATCAATGGGGGTCCTCAGGCTGGAGTGGGGTCACAATGGGAGGGGAGACTAGTTTGAGATTCTGAGGGGACATCCCAGTCAGGATAGCCTATGAGTGACAAACCCAGCTTAAATGGATTTAGCAAAACCTGAAAGCTGTGGGTCCCCAAAACTGTGATAATAGTGGGTAGCAGGTTTCAGGCCTGGCTGTCCACATGCTCTCTACCTTCGGGCCCTGGCTGTCCGTGGTATTTACTCAGGCAGGCACTCCCCTTGTGGCCGCAGAGATGAGCCCGGCAGCCGGGAGATGTCTTCCCGCCTCTGGCACCATAGGATAGTCTCAGGGTTGGCTCTGATTGGTTCAGCTTATATCATATGCCCGTCCCTGGCCCAGTTACTGTGTCCAAGCCAACCTGGTCATGCCCCCTGTCTGCCACCCGTCCTTGGCTGAGAGCAAAGCAGGGGATCCACCAGAGGAAACCAGGGGTGCCTGGCAAAGAGAAGGGGGGCAAAGACTGGATGGGCAGAACCCTTCAGAGAGCTCCCTGGGTGAGGAGTGCTGGGCATCAGAGCGGGTGTTCGGGTCCAGGGGCTCAGGCTGCAGAGAGGGAAAAGCAGAGCTGGGGGCTGTCCCTCCCCAAGGCTTCCCCCAAGCCCTGTCCCGCCCAGCACAGCTCCACCTGTTGTCCATTCCTCCGCTGCAGGTGGACATCTGGTCACTGGGGGTGATGGTGATCGAGATGGTGGATGGAGAGCCGCCCTACTTCAATGAGCCACCCCTCAAAGCCATGAAGATGATTCGGGACAACCTGCCACCCCGACTGAAAAATCTGCACAAGGTGGGCCCTGCCAGCAGACAGGCGGTATGAGGAAGGTGGCACACAGCACTGCAGGGTGGCTGGGGGCCTCCTGGCCTCACACCCAAGCTGAGCACTGGGCGTGGACAGGATTCGGCGTCGATGTCTCCTGGGACGGCATTTTACTGGGTGCTGGGCTCCTCCTCCCCCTCCCAGGTCTCGAGTGTCCATTTAAATATAGGTCCCCTGTGCCCTCCTCATCCCACAGAGGTGCGCAGGCTGGCCTGGCTGAAGGCGCACAACATAGCCAGGTCCAGGAGCAGGGACCTTCCCGGTGGAGGGATTACCTGGTGAGAAGAGGGTGCCTCCAGGTCCCTGCTGCTGCCAGCTTCTCACCCAACCTTGAAAATGGGGAGGAGATGAGCCCCTGGGGCCAAGCTCTAGACACCTGGCATCTCCTTCTTCCTGGCCTGAGCAGTAGATGTCTGCCCATGTGACAGAGGAGGAGACCGAGGCCCTCACGGCAAGTGAGCAGTGGAGCTGGCACTCAGACCACAGCAGGGACCCTCTCCCCTGCCTCCCTCACAGGTGTCGCCGTCCCTGAAGGGCTTCCTGGACCGCCTGTTGGTGCGAGACCCAGCTCAGCGGGCCACGGCGGCTGAGTTGCTGAAGCACCCGTTCCTGGCCAAAGCGGGCCCGCCTTCCAGCATCGTGCCCCTCATGCGGCAGAACCGCACCAGATGAGGCTTGCCACCCTGTCCCTGAACCAAAGATCCCCTTGGGTCACTACTGCCCTGCCGGAGGCTTGTAGGGGGCCGGCCCCTGCTCCTCCTGGCCTGGGAGACACTCCATGTGCCACCGCCTTCCTTACTAGGGGTGGTGTGTGGGACCCTACTACTGAACCCTGGTTTTGATTTTGTGACTTAAAAACATGGGGACTTGTGGGAACATGTGAGACTCCCAGGACCACCCCCTACCCCCACCCTCTGGGACAGGCCCTCGCTGTGTTTTCCTGTCTCCGGGAAGGACAGGCGGCCCTCCCGTCACTGGAAATCTGCAGTGGGGGGTGCTGAGGGTGGAGAGAACACTACAAAAGAGGTGTGTGCCTGCACGCGCGTACGTGTGGGTGTACATGAAGCGGAAGGTCCAGCTCCTCTGTCCTCCAGCCTGTGAGTGGGTGTCTCTGAGACCTTGCCTAACATACAGCCCCCTCTCCCACTGAGCCATGGCGGGGGTTGATCATGAATGTCTGAAGAGTGGCCTTTTCCCTTCGCCCTGCACCCCCGTTCTGTGGCCGGATGGGGAGACAGGTCAGGGCTTCCCTCCCACCCCCAACCTCTGCAGAAAATGACTACTGCACCTGGACAGTCTCTTTTCTAGAAGTCTATTTATATTGTCATTTTATAACACTCTAGCCTCTGCCCCCAGCTGGGGACAGATGGTCCCTGTCCTGCACGGTGGCACCAGGGGCAGAACCACTACTTGAAGAATCAGGTTCCTGCTCCCTCAGCGCAGCCCCGTCCTCCGTTTCCTCAAGTTAGTTTTACAATTAAAACATTTTCTTGATTTGTGTGTGTTGTGTGTATGGAGGCCCCTCCCTGCCCAGGCCATGCTAGGGGAGGGGCTCGGGTCAGGAGGGGGCGTCCTGCGTAACCCCCGTCCAGCCCAGCTTAGGGCAAGGGCCATGTCTGTGGGAGGGTGGGGAGTTCCAGGTCAAAGGGCAGCCACTAAAGCTCCTGCTCAGGGGAGCGGCATTGACACCCGCACATCCTTCCCATGCCTGGAAACGGTTGAGTAGTCCATTTGCCATGATGGCCAATTTACTAAATCTGTGATTTCTGGCAACTGGTTTTAAAAGGTGGTCTTGAGTCTGTTCAGTGGGGAGGAACTGATACATGGTGAGCTGATGTTAGGTAATAGATCAAGGGGCAGATGGACTTTGGGGTTTGGCTAAGACGGGTGGACCTGGGCCTGCCAGCTTCAGAGAGCCTCCTGGGGGCTGGGCCTGGGTCCCAGCAAGGGGAGGAGGAACCCAGCCGGCACTGAGGTGACAGTGCAGCTTCCGCGCTGTGGGCACTGAGCACTCCTCCAGGCTAGCGCTGGACTGTATGTGTCCTCCCCAGCAGGCTGAGAGGTGTCGGGCAGGAGCAGGGGGACAGCTGGGGACAGCTGGGAACGCAAGAGGGAGCCCCTCTCCAGAGCCTTCCAGGCATCACTGGCCCCAGCCACCTCTGCCTGGTTTGTGAGCCGAAGCAGGCGATGAGGACAGAGAGATTCCGGCTTGGTCCACACCTCCCACTGTCCTCCACTGTCATATGACTGTCCCCACAGCCCCCCTCCCTGAGCTCCCCGACCCTGAGCTCCCCCAAGAATTGGGGCGCTTTTTCTGTGACAGCCTGCCTAAGTCCATACATGGTCTAGGTAATCACTGATTTAAACATATCAGCTCGAGCAACAACTGCTGTATGCGAATGTGTCTAGAAAAGGTATGCCAAAATTGGCATAAGGAGAAATAGAAAACAAAAACAAAAGAGAACACAAAATAACCCCACACATGCATATTTTTGAAAAAATACTTTGAGCTTGAATGCTTCCACAAATGAGTTTTAGCACACTTTGAAGGATCCGGTAATTCCCACATTGTACAAATTGTTCCGGAAAACAAAAAGAGGACCGTTGCCGGACTCATTCAGGAGGCTGGAGTGCCCAAGATCCCCAAACCAGATAAGGGCAGTGCAGAACAGAATGTCACGGGCAGTTGCACTGCCCGGGTACACTGATCTCACTGGGCGCCCGGAGGCAGAGCCCCAGACAACTCAGCTGTTACTGTGTATTCAGTCACTTCCCTGCGGTTTTAAGAAATGGCTTTGGGAGCTCCCCCTCCAGGCCCCTGCCTCCTGCTGCTGGTGCTCATGCTGGCGGGGTTCCCACAGCATTAGTCAGAAACCCCCCTAGGTTCAAACAGGATTTAATACAGGAGGTCAATTACCAAGGCACTGGGGATGCTGAAGGAGCCACAGGGGGCCAGTGGCATGTGGGGCTGGAGGGACAAAATGGGTCAGTGCATGACCAGAATCCACTGGTGTCTGCTGTGCTGAGCAGAACGACTGTCCAGCTTCCCACCCTCTACTCCCACAGGAAGCGTCCTCTTGGCGGTACCTTACCAATCCCAGCTGGCAAGGGAGTCATACAAGGGAGCTTTACAGGCTTCCAGCCAACAAGGCTTCTGGTGAACGAGGAAGCTCTCAGAAGGACAGGTGCGGTTGGAGCAACAGACGTCATCTCCCTCAACCGGGATGTGGCACAGGGGTCTCGCTTTGTCCAGGTGTTAGTGTCCAGACATAGTGCTTCACAAGGAGTAAATGTTCTCTCAGCCACAGCAAAGGTCCACAAGAGGGAGTCAGGGATGTGTGAAGGTCAGATTTAAACTAGTCAGACCAGTGGTTGTCAAAGTGTGGTTCCTGGACTGGCAGCATCCCTGGGAACTTAATGGGAATGCAAGTTCCTGGACCTCACTCGCTCCAGGCTAAATCACACTCTGGGAGGGGCCTGGCAATCTGTATTGTAACAAGGCCACCAGGGAGTCTGAGGCCCAATCAAGTTTGAGCCACAGAGACCTACGATTGGCCAAGGAGTGTGGGATTCAGCCCTGCTTAGTCAGTAGGGTCCCAGCCTCCTTCCATCTCACGCTCCTCCACCCTGGGACTGTGGCCTCTCCCACATGGTCCAAGGGCACTTGGCTCCACCAGAAGGAAGGACTGGTAGAGGGCATTCCTCTTCTAAGGGCAGGACCCCTGTGGTTGCACCGTGGCCTCATTGCTCGGAGCTTAGTCATGTGATTACATTCAGAACAATGGAGGCTGGGAAATGTAGTCTATTATGTCTTGCTAAAAATTGTGCTCCTTTCTTCCTGCTAGTAAAGTACAAAGTTGACAGAAGAAAACATTCGATCACCTAGAGGCAGAGAAGGACTTCTTAAAACTTCAAAGGAACAAATTATTAAGAAAAAATACATTTGATTATATCAGAAATTTGTTCAAGGAGGGACGTGAGCAAATGTAACAGGTTCACAATAGGAGAAAATATTTGCAGTCTAACACCAATAAGGTTTTTTAACAAGAAAAGGAATAACCTTAATAGAAAAATGGGCACAAGAGTGTACATAGGTGCTCAGACTCATCAGTAATCAGAGAAATCAAATTTCATCACTAAGCTGGCCCTTGAACAACACAGGTTCAAACTGAATGTGTTCTCTTACTTATACACAGACTTTTTTCCTGTACTGGTTTTGTGTGTGTGTGTGTGTGTGTGTGTGTGTGTGTGTGTGTGTGTGTTTATTTCTTTTTAATTTATTTTTTCAAATACATTGGTCTCCGCCTCCCCCCCACAACTTCCCCTGACCCCCTCCCCCCTCTCCTTCCCTCAATCCTTCCCCACTTTGGATTTGTCCATGAGTCCTTGCTATATGTTCCTTGACTTGCGCCTTCCCTTCCTTTTCCCCACCCACCCCTCCCTCCTTCCCTCTTGTCTCTGTTGGTTTCTTTTTCTTATTTTTCTTTTTTTTCAGTGTGGCTGGTCTTATTTTCCTTGCATCTTTGTATTGTTGGTTAGGTTCTGCTTACAGGTGAGATCATATGGTATTTGTCTTTCGCCCCCTGGCTTATTTCGCTTAGCATAATGCTCTCCAGTTCCATCCATGCTGTCACGAAGTGTAGTAGTTCTCTTTTTCTTTCTGCTGCGTAGTATTCCATCGTGTAAATGTACCATAATTTTTTGATCCAATCATCTACTGATGGGCATTTAGGCTGCTTCCAACACTTGGCTATTGTAAATCGGGCTGCTATGAACGTTGGGGTGCATAGGTTCTTTTGAATTGGCATTTCGGGATTCTTAGGGTATAGTCTCAGCAGGGGAATCACTGGATCAAAAGGCAGTTCCATTTTCAGCTTTTTGAGGAAATTCCACACTGCTTTCCACAGTGGCTGCACCAGTCTGCATTCCCACCAACAGCGTACTAGTGCTCTCTTTTCTCCACAGCTTCACCAGCACCTGTTGTTTGTTGATCTGTTTATGATGGCCACTCTGACTGATGTGAAGTCGTATCTCATTGTGGTTTTTGATCCCTGGTTGCGAGTCCGAGAATGCAGAGGGCCAAATGTATGCGTGAACCTAAGTCATTTTATGTAAGGAACTTGAGTACCTCTGGATTTTGGTGTTTTCCAGGGGTCCTGGAACCAGTTCCCTGTGGATACCAAGGGACAAGTTAAGTTTTGGGAAAGTCACGGATTGTCAACTGCAGGAATGAGGAGGTTGACACTCCTGACCCCACATTGTTCAAGGGTCAACTGTATTGCCCTTGAACAATGGTAGTATTTTCCAGGAATTCAGCTCCTGAATGACTTACTAAAGGAAATCTCCCTCAGGACCATGTGAGAGGGTGCCTGAGGGTGTTCCCTGCAGCAGGGTTTATGGGATGGGAGCTGGAGGCAGCCTGGGTGTCCACGCCAAGGGAGCAGGTGATGCATCAAAGGGGCACACGCTGAGGAAGGGCCCCTGGGCAGCCGGTAGGAGCCAGGGACCAAGGATGCCCATGGGAAGTGGGAGCTAAACCAGTGATGGAAAAGTAAAATTGAGAGCTGTAATACCAGGCTGGGTGAATAAAATACAAATTGTGGACATCAAATAGTCATTTTGCAAGACCAACAAAAAGAGACCTATTTACATATTAGAATGGCTCCCAGTGGGAAGAGATGGAGAAGGCTAAAGGGAGAGAATGAATAAACAAGGGATGGGCCTTGGGAGGAGTAAAGGCCTCAAAGGCCATGTTGCAGGTCTGTTCTATAAGCAAAGGACAACCCCCTTCAGTGTGGACTGGGGCCTAGGCACAGGTATTTAATATGAAAATTATCCAGGAGATTGTAACAGGCTGCTAAGCCTGAGAACGAGAGAATGGCAGCTTGTCATCATCGACCTCAAAACTCATGCCTGCCTCCTGCCAACACCCTATAACTTCTCAAGAAGGGCCCAGGTAATCATCTCACACTTTCCTCCGTTTCATTCTGGAGACTGAGGTCGACGCAGGGTAAGGGCCTGACCTGGGTGACAGGGCCTAGGAGCGCCAGGCCTGAAGTCATCTGTCCCTTGGAGGCTTCCTGTGCCAGGCCTTGAGCTGGGTGGCGGGCTGCAGCAGTGAGCAGGATGGACAGTCCAGGAGGCTCAAACTCTGATGCTCCCAGGGCCAGGCAGGAGACAAGGAGTGGAGAAGTGGCCGCACAAGTGCCTTTTTGAAGGGCAGTCGCTTCTCAGGCCACTGTGGCCTTGTGGGAATTTGGCCCCACAATCCTAAATGTTCTGATTTTTCTCCAGAAATCATCATTTTCATGGGAAAGCTCTTGAGTCTTAAAGATAGGCAATTCACTCAAAACATTTAACAATATCATGTAGGCCAAGCAAAATCAAGCTCATAGTTAGCATTCATCAAGACCTTACTGTGTCCCAGGCCAGGTAGCTCAGTTTGGTTAGAGCATCATCTG